CGCACTTCATAAAAAAGAAAACCTGGGATCTAGCCAAAAGGGATACGCGCATTGGAATGAGGAGGGGGGTTCACCTGGAGAACCCTCCCGACGCGCCCCACCTCCCGAACGAACACCAATTCAAACATACTGATCGCATTGATGTATACATTTTTGTGATTATCAAAAAATACTGACTAAAACTACTAACAGTAGAAATACCGGTACCATAATCACAGTCAAAGTTTCTAAACCTGAGCTTGTCAGTTCGCGTTTTCTTCTTCCCGAGGTCGTGTCTTCTTCTTCTTTCCGAGATCAATCGCCTCCACAACTGCACTTGCATCCCACAAGCTCCTATTGAACTGCAAAAAGAGTATCGTCTCCAACGTCATTGGGTTGAGACTTCGGCGCAGACGTGAGAACACTATTCCTGCACGAGAGAACAGCCTCTCCACGTCGTTAGATATGGGTGGAATCCACTTTAAGTCCTCTCTAGATGAAGTCACTTCCTCCTGGTTCAACGCATCCTCGGCCAAGGATTTGATGGCCATCTCCGCCTTCCTCTTGCGAATTCGTCGCCACAGTATCGGTGGTCTGTTGGAGCTTTACTACATCTGCTCGTTCCCCTCTCGTCAGGGTATTCTCTTTGCCAGCCATAAGATTAACGATACCGTTCTCGAAGTCGGGAAATTTGACCAACGAGGCCGTAAGTGACAGATACAGGTCCGTACCAGGGTAATGTTTGATGACAGAGCCCGCACATCAAGCAGAGACACCATCGTCGTTTGTAGCTTCTTGTTCACACTCTCCAAGTTCTTGAGGTCTTCAAATAGAGCCTTCAACCGGACATTCTCTCGCGGGGTGGGAATGACGTCCGCCAACTGGTCGTCGATGCGGTCCAACTTCGAATAGATGCGAAAATAGCGGTCGATCATGGAGAACGTGCTTATCCAGCGTGTTGTATTACGGTAGACAGGCATGAGGGTGTCTGCCTCACGGAGATGATGCCAGTTCTTGATCGTGTTCAACTTGACCATGAGATCATGGATTTTATCCAATATATCGTCGTCCTCGCGCATGAGGGCTTGGACGGCCAAATTGAATTGGTGACTAGCACACCCTATCATTGGAACCAGTGTCTTGTTTGCAATTGCTACATTTACGGACGCGTGATCATGTGGTGGAGTGGGATTCGCAAAATCGCGTTGCGATCCACTCAGACACACAGTGCCCTGGACTGCCGACTGACGGAGGGGGTACTCCGATA